CAAGAGCTAGGCATTCTTTCTAAAATTAGTGTTCCTAGAACGTCAGCTTTTCTATAGAGGAGAAAACCACCCTAGGACTGCCTACCACAATTAAGTTAGAAAGTCTTACGAATGTAACTGCTAAAGGTGCATGGTGGGAAGGATATGGGATGTAGACTGCTTGGAAAACAAACAAACAAACAAAACAGAAAAAAACAACAGTTTGCATAGCCTGAACCACGATTTCTCAACAATTGATGTTGGCATTATCACAAAAATTTAAATGAAACAATATACAATAATAGAAAACCGCACTTGTACCTAAAAGCATTCATTGATATAAAAGACTTAGAGCTAGCAACACAAAATCATCCCATATTAAATTCTACGTTCATTCATAAAAGCAACTTGAGAAATAGAAAAAAAGGGCATTCGAAGAAAAATCAGGTCTGCAAGAAAAAGCCAAGGAGATGAAATAACAACTCTTCAAACCTCCAAAGAGGAAATGACAAAGAGTAAATGTTTAAATTGAAGCAAAAGACAAGATGGACGCTTGGGAAGAGGTTTTTAACCATGCCAAAAGTTTTCCAATGGATGGTCTATGAGATTTCAAATGAGTCTCCAAGACAAAAAGTTTTTAAAACAAGCCTGATACCCCTCTTACAATGACCTCTAGTCCTGCTATGTGAACCTGGATGTTTCTTCCCTTTGCTAAGTGTGTTCAATTAAACTGTGAAACAGGACTTAAAGAGTTAATTTCCCTCATTCACTCTACTGCTTCCTCCTTGCAAGGTTTCACTTAATGAGAGCAAAATGAACAAAAAAAAGAAGTAAAAGCAAAGCATCTGGGGCAGCTGATAGTTCTCAGAATCTGAAACAGATGTTAAACCAACTTAGAAATTATCCTAACAGTTGCTCCTCATACAAGATCCTTCAGTAAGAACTTCAAAATGTATTTCTGACCTCCTACCAAGGACAACATTGCAGGATTTACTAAGTAGAGTATATGGCATACTAATGCATATTAATGAACAAAACTGAACAGATAACGAGTGGCATACTATTTCACTGCCAGTTTTATTCCAAGTAGAAATAAATCCCTTTTCATTAAGACAAAATAAATGTTGATACCCATCCTTTTTTCTTCCCGAAAACAGCGGTGGCTGGAAAAAACAGAAGATTTGCCCATAGAAAGCATGTTCGGCTACAGTAAATTCTTAAAAAGGTGCAGAGATGCAACAGATTTCACCATGAACTTCTCTACTGAAAAAAGTCAAACGTAGTAAGCAATGGGGCCTGAAATGCAAATGCATTAAGTAATGGTCCTGAAATGCACCATTTTCAAGGTTTTCCCCACCTGCTGCTAGTAAACATAGCACTGGTGACATTACGAAATCTGAAGTTCTTTGTTCCAAAACATTATTTCCTTTGCAATGCGTGTATACAATGGCACGTGATTTTACTGGGAAGGGCATGGATAAAAACATGCTTGAGACTTTAGCAGCAACACGGGAATCCTTGAGACGTTTCAAACGCAGCCAAAGCCAGTAGAATGATTTCTATTGGACTCAGGTTTTTCAGAGGTGAGAGGAGTATGTGGAGAGCATTCTCCAGGAGAGGCCTTCACATTACATATATGCATGCATATATGTTTTTAAGCTTTTACCAAGAAAAGCCTCAATCCCATAACCTCGCTACCCTCTATTAGGGCAAGGGAGAGAGGACTAGAGGACAAGGTGGGGAGATGAAAAACGCTGTTGTGCAACTGATTTTATATGGATGTGGCTCACTTGCTTGATTAGCTGGCTTGTCATTTGCATCACCAAAGTACTTTGAGGCACTGCTAGGGTTTCCATATTTTAGAACCTGTATACAAGCAATGATAAAAGCCATCCTCATCTGCCCTTCATTCCCCTTCCCCCAAAAAGGATGCTGCTAGGAGTCGAAGGTGGAAAGGATAAAAAAACCAACTGCCCACAGCCAAGCAACAAACCAGTACTGGAACTGGAATAAGAATGCACTGCCTCCCACTGCAGTGCCCTGGTCAGAACACACTGTCTCTCTGCATTTGCAAGTAGCATCAGACCTGAAACAGTCAAAATCAAAATGAGTGGGCTGTGTAAAACACTGGGAGATGGTAACGCAAGCAACGACGACTAGAAAAATAGCCAAATGCTTTCTGATCATGCTTTCTGTTTCAGCATCACCTCAGTCGCAGAATTCATCATCAAACCACCACCCACAAGAGGGCAGCACATGCCAACATATGGAACAGGGCAGCCCATCAGCTCGCAGCACACTAAAAAAAAATCCTTTCAACATCAAAATTAATACAGGTCTGGGGCATTTGAAAGTCCATGAAGGCCCGGGCACCACAAGCTCTTTTTCACTTGAGCATTGGAATAATAAGGACAAAAAGAGGAAGCACTAACTACTTCGGCAAGTGGAGATGCAAAGGATGGGCTAAAATATGGAATACAGAGCAATTTGTGCATAGAGTGATGCCCTCGCTTACTGTGATTGAAAGAATACTCAAACTAAGCACAGCTGAGTTCCTATAACCGAAAGCTAAAAAATGTAATGTTTTTAACGTAAAATGTAATGTGTGCAGACTCCGTCATTCCCAACATTTAAATGATTTAAGCAGTTAAAAGACAAAAAAGAGATGGTCCAGGGGAAGTGTCAGCTTTAACATTCCTGAACTAGCACCTGAATTTGGCATTTGATGCTCTGGGATGCAATTCCAACAGTGAAGACATGAAGCAGACTCTCTGCAGTATTCGTTCAGTCCTTATACATTTGCCCTCCATCTGACACTGGAACTGTTGTCAAGTGTGAAGGCTCTGCAAGTGGAGACAGGAAACTCACACCTGTCCTACACTTCTAGAGCTAACATGAAAAAGGAATATGCCTGGAATATACATGTTTTTACAAAAAGTTGTAAGATGTTATTCCCTACTCAGATTGTCCCCTGTTTCCAGTTGAACAAGGTGTGGGCACAACAACAGCACAGGATTTTAGTCATGTGTTTGACAGATGTTCTAATACCCCAGCATCAAATGAAGGTTCAAAGCACCATGATGTTTGAAACACTGAGCACATTCATCAGATGTCTGAATATAAACACTATCTTGACAATAGTCTTCTGAAAGCAAGTAGGAGTAGTAAAATTCAAACTGTATGAATATTCAAATGAGCAGTTTGTTGCATTATAAGAACTTAATAACTTAGCAACATTGCTAAAAAAAGAAATAATTTTGTATTTTCTGCAATGACAAGAGGCGTGTAAAGAAAACCCTCCTCCCCCAAGTTCAGTGAAAAATTAAGTCCTTAGCAATAGAATTTATCCCTTTCTACAACTGTACAGTTTCCATATGATATCTTTATACACTGCTCTTTAATTGTACGCTTTCCTTTAACTCTCTCCTACACTGTGCAATTAACAAGAATCCTTTCTTAATGCTGTACAGGTATGAAGTTATAGAAAAAAAAAAACCCTTCATTTTCTCTTTCAAAAAGAAAATCTGATATTGATAGTTTTGCAGGATCTAAGCTGCCAGACTCTATACTTTTAATTACTACATAAAGAAATCTCTTATTAGATAGTTAAAGGGCATTCAAGTCATGACTCTTCTCTTACATGCCATCCAATCCAACACTGCTCTTCTGCAACCTGTCTTCATCTCTTGAAAGGAGATTCACAAAAAAGGGACAATGTTGTCTTTAATTTTAGGAGGCATTTTAAGTAACAGCACAGAAAAGTAAAAGGCAAAGAATATCTAAAGACTGTAAGTCCTTGAGAAAACAATATAACTTATTTTGTGACAGAATTATTTTGATAGAAGGCACCAGAATAAAAGACTGAAATTCACAAGCAAATCTTCAATTAAAAAAAAAATCCCTATCTTTCCATTAACCTGTAAGATTACCCAAAATTAATACCACAAAAATATTATCCTTAAACTTTGTTTTAAAATGGTAGCAACTATATTGATCTTGTTTCTTGTATATTTACTATAAAGACGATGAGGCCTTAGTCTAATGGGTAGTTTGCACTTCAGTGAAAGGTTATCCCTATTTATACTTTTACAAGTGTAGGTTTTTTTAAATATGGGGTATGTCTTGTTCATCAAGATGACTTCAGAGTGGCATTCTTACATTTCATCTGTAGTACATGTGTGAAAGTGTAGGTCTGTGATGGACTATGCTAATAAAATCAAATTTGACTCTATTCCAGCAAGGCGTTCTCTACTATCTGAGTTTTATCTCTTCAGAACCAATAAGGCCGATAAGGATCTTTAACAAAAGAACAACCTGAAACGGGTGTACTTTACAATCCTCTTTGCTATTATTGAAAACGAATGACAAAACTGCAAAACTTCATCCTGCAAATTAGGATTAAAGCTTTCATAACCCCCTTACATGCTGAGGGCTGAGGGAAAGGAGGAAAAAAGCACTTTTTGAGTTTATCAAAGTTTATCTGTTTCCGTTTTCCTCTACGGTCTCTTCAGCCAGCTTCCTGGTTGCTGGAAAGATACTTAAAGGCAGAAAGAAGTGCTGCATATAAGAAAATGGACTAGTTTTAGAAAAAAAGCTCTTTGAACATATCCGATCTAAACAGCACTACACTACAATTACATACCTTTTTGTTTTAAAATTACACACACATTCTGCATTCCGGAACAGGAGTACTCACAAAAAATACATTCCCCCCAAAAAGCACCATAGGTCATAGCACTTAAGAAATGACGATAAAGGTCTTCGGATTCTTTAATAGAATAAGAACTACTCATCTGGAGTCTCTGGTCTAATCAATTATCAAGTAGCAGCAGCAAAACACCACACTCGTATTAAAATGGCAAGCACTCATATTACAAAAGCCTGCTATCAATGCTGATTTCTGACAAAGAAGCAAGTCTCAGCGCAAATATAAATATACTTTAAAAAAGTCAAAGCAATAACAGTTTTCCCAGAGCTCTGATGCTAAATAGCATTATGTTACTCAAAGACACCACACTTACTAAAGTCTTAAATGATGCAAAGAAACATCATCCTGTTCCAGCCAAGGCCCCTTGTCAAACTTCAGGTACTCGATGTCTTCAATCACCTGGAATCAGAGGATAAAATTACACTAAAAGGTGGTCTGACCAGAATGACTGATTTTCAACAACTCCCCCCCACCCAAATCAATGAAATACTCAACATATATGATTAAACAAGTCACCCAGCAGGAAAATTTCACAGATACAGCAACAATGCAGATATTTGGGTTCTCATGATCCAAAACCATATTGCTAGAGGTCCTTATCCTGCCATAAGCATTGGACAGACACATGGGGGTCATTTCTAAAGCTCCTGGTGCTCTGAATCCTACTGAGCAGAGGATGGCAGGGAATAAACAGGCAGGGAGGTGCAAGTACTTTTCCTCAACCTGCCATGAAGGCTAGAAGGAAGGAAAAAAAAAAAAAAAAGCGCAACCCTACCTCAAAAGTACAATGAGAAGGAAATGAAAATAATAGCCTAAGTTTAGCCCTTTGTCATTGCAAACAAAAGCCACACTCCATGCTACATAGGAAGTCTGTTTTTTTTCAAAAGGCTCCGTAATCTAATAATTAAGTAAAGGTTGAGGAGCAATACTACATAGCAACCAGCTACTCCACATTGTGAGGATGGTGTCTTGGTGCTGTTGTGCAGGGTTCACACATTGGAAACTGATGAATACTTCAGGCTCCAATACCCAAATATATTTAAAGCAGCCATAGTAACAAAAGTCTAAAGGCTCCCAGTTTGACTGATCATTAAAAACTACCCATGTATGCGCACAACCTGAGCAGAAAGTAAAGGCAAAACTCACAACACTGTACCAAGGATCACTCAAACAAGTAACACTGTCTCAGCAAATCACTCCTCTAGCATCTCCAAGGTTATCAATGCCATATTTCAGCTTCATTTACAGACTGGCTCCATCAGAAAACACATCTTTGCCGGCACACTAGATAATCACTTAACACAAGCCTGATGTAATTACATATGACTGACTTGATCTGAAGAATATCGGAACTAGTGTCAGGAGGATGCACTGAAGCTATTTTATAAATCCTTGAAGTGGGGATAATATCTTGAAACAACCTGGGAAGGAATGGATCAATACAGCTCTAAACACTATTTCACACACACACACACACAAAAAACCCTTTTGAGGTCAGGAAGCTTGTATTATTTGCCATATACTAAATCCACAGTAATATATTCCTTGCAATCTCAGAGAACGCTAAACCCCATTTATTACCACATAAACTGAAAGGGCAATTTAAAAAAAAAAAAAAAAGGTGTTATTACAAAAGAGTCTCAACTACAATGGTCTGTTCTATTATGAGTATGACATTTTATGGTAAGAAGAGGTAGCTTAGAGAAACAACGAACTGAACAATCATTTTACTTGAGGCATTTGTATTTTTTAAGGGCTAAATTTGCTGACAAAGACTTCAAACACATAGCTGAAACGTGACATTAAGTATATTTCAAACTTCAGGAAAGTTCCCATTTAACCATTTTTGATCTCTTACAAATAAGCAAAGTTGGCAAGTCAGATACTGTAACCAAGAACACAGGAATGTATTCTTGGTTACACCTTTCACATAAAGAAATAATATATTTATATGTATATATACTGTATATGTATATGTTATAAAGTATATTACATATATAATGCTATTGTGTGTACGTGTGTGTGTGTGTGTGTGTGTGTGTGTATGTATGTATGTATGTATGTATACACACACACAAGACTTAATAGCAACAAGAAATTTCTAGACTGCAAAGAGATACTGTTCCAATCCCTTCCAGAAATCCTTTCAACCAGAAGAGGCTCAGAGGTATATACCATTTTCCAGTTTGCACTCAGATTTTAGGATCCCTACGTACTGGAGAATGATGTGACTCAGATACTCCTAAGCACAGTAAGAGCTCAACAATAGCCAGATAGTCAGACAACATTTGCGTTTGCTGCAGTTGGGATACTGTTTTTTTTGAAGGGGGAAGTGTTCTTGAGCTTATATGACAGGTCCCATTCACAAATCATGTCATATTTAATAAACTAGCTCAGATCTAAACTTGCATTAACTGCATTTGAACATCACAGAATATCACTAAATTCATTCAAGGATGTAAAAAGGAAGAAAAATGTATGGTAAGTCATTTCAAATATCTCTTATTCTTAATTTAAATGCCAAACATTCAGCTTCCTATTAGATATGCAAAAACAAAAACAAAACCCCTTCTATATGCCACAGCAAATCTTTGGAAACTCCACACCATGGCTGATGACAGGAATAACAACAGATCTTCTAACAGGAGGGCTCAGAAGATGTTGAGGGGGAAAAAAATCAGTATCTAAATTAGTTTTGCACACTCGTATTACCATATCAGAAGGTGTCTTTTCCAGCAGCTTTTCAACAATGGTTTCAGCCCCCTACCAGGCTAGAAGAGCAGCTTCTTAATTCCCAAGGAATGCCCTGGCATCCCCTGGGAATTGGCAGCAAATGAATGATTTAAACCTAACCAAGTAGCACAACATGCACTAACGTCCAGGAGAGATCAGATTTTAAATATACTGGAGAGTACGCTAGGATTTGGAAAAAAATAATTTTCAATAATTAGACCCCTTCTATAATCTTTGCAGCTAAGCCAATACATTGTCATAAGCCAATACAAATGATGTTCAAAACCTAAGCTTATTTTGTGGGGAACTGGCGAGTTCTGCTGTTGGAAGAACTATGGGTGGGAAGGTGGGAACAGGGCATAACAACACTGTTTTTGTTCACATAATATACGGGGAGAAGGACACTGTACCTGAGGGGGGTGTACTCTAGAGAGCTGAATTTTCTCCAACTTCCTCCTCACAGGTTTCTTCTTTAAGCCAGAGACAGATACAGGGAGCAACTCGGGATATAACCCTACAGAATTCAGACTACAACTTGCAGGAAGGAGCTTAACCCATATATAGCATCTGCAACAGAACAATATACATGGGATACTTCTGAAGCCTTTCACCTCTGCACTGACAAGGGACGTGGCATAAAGCTTCTCTATGGCCTCCCATCTTCAGCATCATCTCTGATTTGTGCAAACTCATTACATTGAATAACATTGACACATAATGCAAAATACTGTATTCACACGCACAGAGGAAATGAAATATTTCCTGTGCAGCTTGCAAACTATTCCCTTTCTTCCCTCCTTTCCAATATACTGTTTTTTTTTTTAATTGGGCACCTTTTCATTTCCAGTTTCATCCTCATGTTAAAGCAGTCTGAAACATCCTAAATAAACAAACTCTATTTTAGCCTTACAACTCCTTTAGCCTTACAACCAGTGTTAAAAGACAATATGAAACACCAACTGAGCTGTTTAAACACACCTAAGAAACTTAAAGTCATTTCTGTAAGTTGTGCATGTCCACTACAAGCAACTGCAAAGCCACTGAACTCTAAATTCATAAAAAATTAAGTTCTCAAATTGCAAAGCAAAGAATCTGTACATCAAAGCTACTTAACAGTTAAAAATCAACATCTATTAACAACATATATCTGTGTATACAGACACACCACAAGCCAAAAATAATTCCCTCCTACTAACCGTTATTCCCAAATTTCAATTATTTAATTTCAAAAATAAACCAAACCTTAACAGGGAGGACAAAAAACTTCATTCTTTCAAATGGAATCAGTACTAGTTTTTGTAGCTAACATCAGTACTGAAAATATGGTATCATCTTGCAAAGTAATAAATCCTTCCTCTAGTCCAGATTTGTCCAAACAACTTAAGAGGGTCATCAGTATGTATTCTGCTTATGTTCAGCGACGATGCAAGATTGCTGAGCTTGGTGGACTCTCTACTTGAACAATAAGAGCTTTAGATTGACTTTAAAGACTAATTTACAGTATTAAAATAAAATCCCCAGCAATGCATTTTACTACAGAATCCAGGGAGGAAACAAATGGCCTTATTCTAGCTACTTCAGATGGGCACAGAGAGAAAGAGGGGGAGAAAACAAACAGACAAATAACCACCCACCCCAACTCTCTTTTGTTTCCTCCACACAATGTGTGGTTACCCACTTGAAACACCATGGCTCTCAAATCTTACTATCCTTTCTTTCATGATGTCCTGAAGAGCTAACTAGAATTACTCAGTAATCCCATCCACACCTCAACCACTTTCTGTTGCTGTTGTTCATTTCAGCTGCTTCCTTTTTTTCGTCCCTCAAAAAATATCTAAAAACAAGGTAGAGAACACTTTATTCCTAGGATGTTAATCCTTCCTCTTCACAGAGGATGCTTCTCACTGAGTATGCACTCAAACTGCTTCACAAGTCTACTGTTTGATAACCATTATTTGATAACCTCTATTATCAAATGTAATGGAAACCCAGTCACAACAGGGTAAGACCCAAAACATAAAGCCCAACCATTTTTTTCATAAAAGGAACTAAAATGCACAGAAATGCACAGTAATGTAGTTAATGGGGTTTAAAACTTTACTATCAAGAAAGTCCTTACCAACATTTCCTGCTTTACATAAAGCTTTTGCACAAGAACATGAGCATATTAGGTACAGGCTACTGTAATGGGACATGCCAACTAGATTCAACTAGATGGGAAGTTTATCACAGACTGAACTCAGCTGAAACAAATTCATCATTGACCGCAATAGCAAGAACTAAACTTAAAAATCCAGGAGATTTTCCAGCCCCTTGCATTAAGCTTTGCCATCTTGCTCAAGCAACCTGAATGCAAGTCAGTGACAATAACGTTATGCTTCTTTCTGAAAAAGTAATGCTACCACCGAATATGCTCTAGCACAAGGGCACAAAAGCCCGAGCTCTATCAACTGTAGACAGGGACAACAGTGAATTTTTCATTATTCTCTTCTAGCCTCCTTGACAGAAGACAAACTCAACTTCAAACTGTTCTTGTAAGGATCTAACAAAAACATCTCACTACTCTTAATTTTGCAACAGTACCCTGACCACAATGACACAGTGTTCTTGTTGCCCAATGGGAACTATCAACCTCGATCACGAGTAGTTCTTTCTAAAAGTCTGAAAATAATATTTCAGTATCTCCAAGGCTCACTGCTACTCTGGTAAAACTTCCTGAGTGAGAGATATAGCAGTGATAGGCTACCTGCCTACAACACTTAGAAAATATTCAGATATATTTAATATACAAGAACTCTACCACAGTAATAAGCAGCCAGAAACCTCCCTTGTTATCAATGCCAACGTTAGGCTTAAAAATCTTTTAATTAAGAATCGACCTGGAGGTTTAGCAAAGAAAGGCTCTCAGATATGCCCCACAGCAAGAAGGAAGTGCCATCACGAACCTAGGTGTACAGCAACAGGTGGCCTGCTATCTGTTGAAGGAATGTCATACATGGTTTAAGTGGATGAATAGGTGCAATATACATACTGAAAAAGGAAGGTTGTTTCCCTTTTGCATCTGATTCTTGACATTCCTTTCTTTGCTGTTGGAGTAACTGGTAGTAATTGGAAGCAACTGGCTTGAGGTTTTCCGTCTGGAAAGCCTGAGAGCCAGCAAACCAAGTAACATAGAGAAGAAGGAAAAAAAGGAAGGAATGAGCTATGGAGGATAACTAGGTGCTCTAACTCTGCAGCCTTTGCCAAGTGTACTTGCACATTTCAAGTTCTGCTTCAAAACAAAACATACTTCACTCTTGAAACAAGATTGTGCCTACGTATGAAGCAGAACACTGCCAAAATTTTAAAAAGAACCACAGTAATGCCATTTGCATGGGGCTTCAGCAAGCACCCTGTTATCAGTGCTGGACTGCCATCTTAATATATTTATTTACTTCTGTAAGGATCACGTTCTTTCCAAAGGGAGCAAGGATGATCTGCTAAATAAGCTGGGGTGGGGAGGGGGGGTGCTGTTAAAAGAAATCAATTGTCATCCTCCCATCAGTACAAATAGAGTGAAAAAAAAAAAAAGTAAGCTTAGAAGAAGCAGCCTAAACACTGCATTGAATTTGGTAAAAATACCACTACACATATGGGTCCCTAAATACCAAGTACTTACTACATGCTAAAATAAGAATATTTAAAACATATCCTATTAATGCAAACCAGCCTATTATGCTTCCTCTTTCTCCCCTTCCCCAAAATAGTAAGTTTTCCATCCCAAATGAAGCTACCACCCTGACACGTCTCTCTTTCCAGCTTATTTAGGAATGAGTCATCTACTGATATGTAAAGGTCTGGGCCTATTTCCTCAAACAGAAAGCAATATAACCAGCCTCTTATTTCTTTTCCTCTCTAACAGACAGAGAGCATTAACTATCAGGAAGCAAAAGGCTTCAATCATCCCACTAGTAACCTTCCACAAGCAAGACTGTCTGCTGAAATAAGGCAAATATGCTACACCTACTCTGGAAATAACAGTCTGGAGTAGGAGGAAGCAGCCATCTCAGGCTAATCCTGTTACATACTAAGAGATGGTTTATTTTTGGCAATGGGATGGCAATTTATTATCTGGTACTAGCTTGTCTGATCAAACTGTTTGGAGAAAAAAAATTGCAGTTCAGCTACCACACGCTATTATAGATGAATAACCCAGGGTTAAAAAGCTGACAGCAACTTTGGTTACCAAGCTGTTCACAATAACCAAATAATGATCAGCTTTTAGAAGATAACAGTTATTTTACTGCACAGGAACTTGTTCACTAATCTAGATCACAGAAAGGTGCACACTGGGGAAAGCCAACAGAGACAGACATTACACTGGTAGAAAGAGTCTCAGCTGAATGGTGGGGGTGACTTACCTCTTGGTTTATGCCATTAGTTCCCAAACTGAGCTACGCAGAGCCATGCCCATCCCACCAACCACTTCAAACAGGGAAGCTGACTGAACAGCCAAACACTGCACAGCCCAGCAAAGACTCAGGAGACACTGTTTTCATTTCTCTCACCCTATTTGCTTGGAAAAACAAACCAAATTTGGAAACACCTGACATAAGTTACATCAGCCCAAAAGAAGTAGTAAACCACTTCTTTTACTAGTGATGATCATGTGGTCTGTAGTAGGCTTTGCTTACTCAGATACCCAGATAATTTAGCAAAGGGAACAGGATGGGGAAGAGGGAGATTTCCACTCTGCTGAGTAACAAAACTACAGTCACTCGTCAACATTTTCTAGCGTAGATCCAGGCCACATCATTGCCATAACAGTAAAACAGTAGATGCATTAAGTAAGTTATCTAGCAGGACAACAAGAGAGATCAGTGTTCGGTTTACCTTTTGCTCTTGGAACTTTAATAAAAGTTGAGTCAATTTTGCCATCTTTTCAATACAAATTTCAATACAATGACTTTGACATTTGCCACACTGATTATCCAGAAAAGATGACAAGAACAAACCAGGAAAGACAAAAAATCTTTTCACGTGTAAAGGCAGTTTTACAACCAATGCATGCTGCAAACTCTTACCTTCTCCACATCCTCTGCCTCACTTGCAGTATACTGCAAAACTTCACTGGACTCACTGCAAAGAGAAGAAATTCTTAATTCACAAGATGCAAATGCTATGCCTATCCTCTCTCCCCTGCTCCAAAATGAAGTAGAAATGAAGTTCAAAGACACAATAATAAGAGCACTCAAAAATTTTAAATATTTATTTAAAATACATATGGAGTTCTTGCAAAAGAATTTCTATTAGATCTACAAGTTGTTTCTTTCCTGGTACAAGATTATTTTTAAAGAACAAATGGTCTGTGGTACCTACACAGTTTCAGTTCAAAAAAATTCCCACCTATGATTTTGTTTCCATTTCACTTTTGTATACCTGCCACAATTACCATTTTCCAATCTCTCTGAAGCCCAGTGAAATCTTTAACAAGTCAAAACCAAAACTTCAGTAGACTTTCAATGTTATAGCACTTTTATGGGTTATTTTTAGGAAAATAATAGATTCATTATTATTTACTAGGCCTGAGCTAAAACTGAAGCAATACAACACAGGCTGTGGGATCTGTAAGTAGAAAAATATTTACAACATGTAACAACTTCCCAGTTAAAAGACTGTTTTCCTATTTGTACAGCAGCCTTCATAGAAAAGTCACTTGAGGAGCAGGGCCATGATCACAGCTCCTATATGAGCATTTTCCACTACTGTATACACATGCTACTCAGCAATAGTTGCTCCCAAATCTACTGCAGCTTGGGTGCAAGACACACGCTGTTCCTTTAGCTAACAAAAACTTAAAGGAAAAATGAAATGGAAACAAGGTACATCCAGCCATGCAAAGAACTGCTAAAGAATCTGGAAGAGTATCTGCAGACTTTTTTCTTAGCATAACCACTTCCAAGTGGTTAATCAGAATTAAGGCAGGCAATCTAAACAGTATTGCTGGAAGCAATCACATTACCAAAATAATATATAACTGCAGCAGTCCAGACTAGTTCCTGATCTGCATTAATGGAGGTCAGTCAGAACAGCTCTGGTAAAAAAGCTCATTTATAGAGTGCCTTCTATTTCTGTGAACCCCCAAGCTCTTACAGAGTCAGTGACAAGCAGCTGGTCTGAGATTCTGCAATGCTGCAATTTAAACTAGTGCTCATAATGGCAGAACTATTTAAAGAGTTTGTTCTTCACTTGTGGACAAAAAAGAAAGGCAGAAAGACTCATGCAACTCTTTACGGTCACAGAACAGAAGAAAATAAATGGCATCCTTTTCAAGGGAGCTGTTGTGACAGCATAACATGCATACTTGCATCTACAATTTCAACTGTCGTTAATCAGAACGAGAAGCCAGACTTAACCAAATGCAGAGCTTTATACTGGCAATTGCATTAACAGTGCACATCAAGTCACTTGAAAGCCCTAATAATCTGCAGCGTATCATTAAGAGAAAACAGCTGCTCAGTAGAAGCAACATCAGATATGAAAGATAGCATTTCAATCAATTTCAAGCCTAACAATCTTAGGCTTCGGGCCCAGAAAAGAAAACCCAATGAAAGACAAAGCTATCTGTTCAAAATCACTAAGTAGCATCTGCCACAGCACCAGCCTCACAAATCACTATCCAAAGAGGCATTAAAAGACATTCACAAACATGTCAGACTAGAAAGGAAGCAGCAATTTTAAAAGAGCTAACCACATTATACAGGACACTCCACTTAGGGCAGTGCCAAGTTGCTTCAGTTAAATGGAACTAGAGAAGAGGAATGCTACTAAGTAACAAACTACATAATTTTCCTACTGCGTTTCAAGACTTTTCCAAGAAAAGCAAGAGAGGACAAGCAAACACAAGCTTAAACATGGAGAATGTACAGGCCAGGAATTTGTTCAAAAGTCTAAATAAAATTTGTTCTATCTGGACTTGATTTTGGTTGTCTGAAAGAGCTAAGGAATCAAATACTTCCTTGTGACAGAGATTCCTTGTCTGTCCAGAGATTAACAAGACATGAAAGAATTCACTGCATCACTCTGCAATCCAGCAAACAGAGAGTTAAAGGCAACTGGAGCTTCTGGATATTCATCCAATCTACAAGCTATCAGTGAGATCCAAAGATGTGCAAAGCTGAAGTTTCACACATTTAGAACTTTTCCATATTAAGGGGACAAAGAAGTCCTCCTCCAGACTTCAGCACAAAGATTGATCTGACAAGCTATTGTAAACCCATACACTGATAAGGATGCCAACCAGAGGGTGTTTGCTTAACAAGCGTACTGACCATGTACAGCCAAAGGGGAAATCACAGCACGACCTAGGAGTCTAGGCTCTAGCCTCACTAAACAACACAGTATATTTCCAGGGCTCGATTTGATCCAAAGAATAAGCAGCAATTTTCTCCTCACTAGCAAATTCAAGACAGTTCTGTGCTCAGGGGGGATGACAGTCCTGAGGTTTCCCACCCTCCCTCCAAGTTCTTAGCTCCCATTTCCCTTTGACAGCTGTGTGCTAGCTGCTCATCTCTGGGGGATACATTCAGAGGCAGCTGACCATACACCACACTAACAACTTTCGCCCTCTGTGACTGACAGCCTCAGTATGAAGTTATTCAGTTCAGTTGCTGACAATTACACTGATTTATCTTGGGAGCTGGAGCAAGAAAACAAGCGCACACAAGCAGGCTACACACACAAACCAAACTTTATGCAATTAGAGATTTTGATGTAAAGTAGGCTTGGGTCTGTGACTTTTAAGAGTTGCCCTTCCAGAGAGTCATCTGTTTAGGAGAGACCAAGATTGCTTATGCTCACGTGCTTTTGGATTGCAAGACAATTTGATTTTCGGTAGAGCTAAGAATTGGGATAGCTGACAATCTAGAAGAGTCTCCACGTCTCAAGTTTACAGTTCCCACATTCTTGCTTCCTAGCTAGAGAAAGCCAGAAGAGCCTAGAAAAGAGCACCCTTAGTCTCTCAAAGCAGGCAGCAGTGTAGTCTTTATTTAACAGCCCTGATAATTCCATCAAATCTTTGTCAAACGTGGAAGGCTGTAAGAAGGTGTTTGCCTCATGAGGCAGAGAAACAGAACTACAAAAGGGAACAAAATGCCCTATCTCAAAATCTCTTTCTCCGCCCCCTCCCTATCAGGAGGCTAACCAAAGCTATGACAATTGAAAGGAATTTCTAAAAGAGAAAAATTGCAAGTGTTCAGATTCTCAAAAAAAGCCTGAAAAAGCCTTGCATTGCATCACACTCTCCTCAGGTCACATGAATGCAAATACACAACTACAGCTATGGCATTCTGTACATAGTCCCAAGAAAGCGCTCCATCCAGTTTCTAGCTAACAGAAAGCAGCAAACAGGCTAATGCCAACCACATACAGTGTGCTGTCATAAGAGGGAGACAAAGACAGCACTTGTTTCTGCAGAGCACAGAGGATAGCTGTAAGGGACCTCATTCCTCCTGGCTTTGCTGCTGATGTGTCCTTTTGACGAGGAACAAATTAATGCTACGCTGTATCTGACTCCATGACAATAAAGTTGTAATGCCATGAGACAGCAGGATGAAGAAAAGTACTGCAGGCCATGGCTCATTAGCTTTGCAATACATTAGATGAATCAATTAATGAAACCGAATGCATTTACCATTCTACAATTCCTCCCCTGCTTTGAATCTCAAGAGAGTCACAAAACAGCACTCTAGAAAGATCATACTTACAAAGATTTCATTTTTGACCTTCTAATATTGTAACGGTGGCACTGGGCTTCTCAGATGCAAAAGATAACTACACACGTTAAGGTTTGCACACGTTTTTAATCAAAGATTCATTGGACCACACAGTTTAGTTTGCTAACCTGATCTGTGGTATGAAAGTTTTCTTGTAAGCATCTTCAATGTTCTGGAGATAAGCAGTAGACACCTTTTTTTCATATGGCTAAAAATAAACAAAAAATAGAAGAACAACATTGTAAAGTTTGCTTTCTTTCTTTTCCCACCAATGCAGATTTTAGAGTGTTTAAGCAGAAGCTGCTACTACACCACCTCTTAAGAGCTCACTCTCATACTAACAGCCAAACATCCACTGAACCACAAATGAATTAATGAAAGTGTAAAGAATTAAGACGTTTTGAGTGCTTAGAATTTCTTATGCGGCACTAAACATCTAGAGGACCCCACACAATGAATCACAGCCTCCTGAAATCACTGTTTTATCCCACAACAATCAGCTCCCAGCCTTTAATAAATACCCATTTGAATAGATTCTTCTAATATGCTAGTGAATCTAGAAAGAAAGGGAAAGGCAGGTTCAATAGAAGAATGTGAAAGCAAAGCAAAAAAAACTTTCTTCCTATTTATTTCAGTCTGTTACGGGAATAACCTCATTTTCCCTGAGTCTCTGTAAACTAAAAGCACCATCCTAAAATAGCCCTCAAAAAAATTAACTTTCCACGGACTGATTAATCCTAGACACCTGCACATTCAAGGAAATTATGTAAAATCATTCATAAAAAGGGAAAGGATTGTTTGAGGCTCCCGCCTTGCATCCATATCTCCAGTTCTACACAAGTGCATTGACAACCATCTACTCTAACAACTTCAAAGCCCTTCTTTGAGAGGTAAATGGATACCATACGCACTGTTAAACAGCTCACCACAAGCTGCACCTATCATTCGGTGTATCCTAAAGGACACATACGCAAAATGCCTGGAATTTCATCTACCATGGAACATGGGCTTTATCTTCCCTCAGTCCAATCCTAACATTACATTATATTCTCTGCTGCCCTGAAGACGAACGCTCTACCTTCCCCATCAGCTGGCTGTGAATGCCCATCTGAGATGCCCATTATGTTGGAAGGATCTATTTCTCAGCTAGCTGGGCCCATTAGGGGGCTTTTCTCTTTCCAGTGCACTGTGATAACTGCACACTGAATATCAGTCACAAACCCTCCACCCACTTGAGAATACTGAATTCCCCAAAACACCATCCCCAAACAAGTACTACAATATTCAGCAGCACCCCTGCCCCAAGAAGTTCCGCTACACTAGCAATTTCTGCCAGAAGAGAAGGTCTCAGAAACGCAACTAACTTTATGCCCATGAGGGCAAAGAACTCATGCTTTCCCAAAATACATTAAGAAAGTTCTAATTCTGTAACTCAGGTTGCTTAAACAAAAAAAACTATAGTTTTCCCATACAAAAATATCTTGTTCTTTAAAAGGTAGAGGAGTATTCAGTCATGGCCTAAACAGCTCAAGGGTAGAAGGGTAGAGTCATCTGAACAGCAGACAAAGCAACTTAGGCCACAGAGATCCTGAAGCAGCAAGGGCAACCCTCCATTCGCTGCTTTGAAGTCACTTCCCTTTGGCAACAATACACTTCACTCATAAACGAACACGAAACTTCAAAACTACCAGCTTCACCTCAGCATATTAACATATACATACATGCTTTAAGAAGCAGATGTGGCCAACCATTTAAGGCATCTGAGAATTTTTTTCTAATAAATCAAAGCTTTCATTCAATACATTAGGCTTTCCACCGTTAAATTTTTCACTTGACTACAACTTCCATTCCCTTTGAACAAGGTACAAAGTAAATATCATGTGATTCTCACAGCCCATCTGAGAACAGTTACCAGCACACGTCTAAATATCTCAAGAGGAGGAAGAAAAAACTCCAAACTTCAACTATTATTTAGATAAGTTATTATACAAAAACACCCTACAGCTTTTCTGATCCAAAACCAATCCAGTAATCCAGCATGCAGAAATAATGCGAGAGGTAATTTTAAGTCATAATGACACAGAACTGAAGTTAATTTTCTCTGAATAGTGTTCTCCATCCAATACCATGTCTTAAAAAAAGACAGCTTGAAGAGAGAAATTATGTCAGTCTCAAAGGATTTTGAAATAAAAAGCAAGAATGTCCTGCAATTGTCAAAGATCAGCAATAGCTAAATTCATATACTACGACCTTAGATAAGATTGAATTTGTACTAGTGACAAATTAGTAAACTGTATTTCTTATTAACTTTATACCAGATAGCCAAAAGCTCCCTAGATTTTATATCTGATGGAAGACCTATAAAAAAATTAGCTTTTATGTTTAAAATTGACAGTTTTACTGAGCTAACACAAAAGCACCAAGCAGTAAATTTCTTCTTTTCACAAAACCAACTGAACCTGCTGGTCATCCATTCCCACAGTGACCCACACATTAACGTCAACAGTTCAACAGTTCTGAAAAAGCAATCAAGCAGTGAACCTGGAGAAGGGGGCAGCCAACTGCAGCTGATCGCACTCAGAAAGCACAGGTAATCATAGAGTATGTTGAAAGAAGCACGTTGTCTGGATGTGATTCCTGGCATGAAAGCTACAAAGGCTGATTTATAGCACAGGGCAGCAAACAGACGCAGCAGTTTGCACAGCAGTGTATGGGCTCTACATGGGCCTTTTGTGGGCCTTGTTGGAAGTTCTGGAGACTTTCTGGGGATCCCCGAGGAACTAGACAGGGCTTACTGCTGGCAGGAAGAGAGAGCTAGGCAAGGACTACTGCAGGGGGCCTTGACTTAACTTCTGGGAAGTTCCAGCTAGGTGTGGCTGCTGCTAACGAGCTCTCTGGGTTGCCCCTGATCCGAGGGAGTTGGGGCTTTTGATTCAGGTGACTCCTGATTGGGTGGGTCAAGCACCCTTGTGAGTCACTGCTAGGCAGAGGCCTATATAAGAGCCAGGCCTAGAGCACAGCTCCTAGAGTGCAGCAAACAGAGGCAGTGAAGAGATGCAGCAGTTCATGCAGAAGGCAAAGAAGGCACCTTCATTTTCCATAGTGGTGTGTCCACCCCCAGGCATGGTCATGACATGCCACAGATCACATTTCCCCAGGGGCTGTTGCAGCTGCTGCATCACCTGTGTCTGAAGCTTCAACCCAGACAGACCCTCTGACAGCAGATGCAGCTCTACAGGTGTCAGGCTGCAGGGAGTGGCTGGGGCCTCTCTGTGAGGCCTGGGCTGACAGTCAGCTCTCCTGCAGAAGGTGTGCTGGCGTTGATCAGCTGTATCGCCAGATAAAGGAGTTACGGGAGGAAGTCAGTAGGCTACGTAGCATCCGAGAAGATGAGCAGGAGATTGACAGGGTATTTTCGGAGACTGTGCAGCTCCAGGAGTCCCCCACCCTCCCAGTACAAGAGAGACATGGCACTCCTGGGGAGAGTCCAGCGGAGGGCTACAAGGATGATGAGGGGACTGGAGCATCTCTCCTCTGAAGAAAGGCTGCAGAGAGCTGGGCCTGTTCAGCCTGGAGAAGAGAAGACTGAGAGGCGATCTCATCAATGTGTACAAGTATCTGAAGGGAGGATGACAGGACAAGAGGCAACGGGCACAAACTGAAACACAGGAAGTTCCATCTGAACAGGAGGGAAAACGTCTTTCCTGTGAGGGTGACAGAGCACTGGAACAGGTTGCCCAGAGAGATTCTGGAGTCTCCTTCCCTGGAGATAGTCAAAACCTGCCTGGACGCGATCCTGGGCAATGTGCTGTAGAGGACCCTGCTGGAGCAGGGGGGTTGGACTAGATGATCTCCAGAGGTCCCTTCCAACCTCAACCATTCTGTGATTTTTAAGAACAGATGAGTTTTACAGAGTTTCTCATGGCAGAAGTGAAAGCATGCTGAAGTGGTCAAAGTGTTGATTTTCTTAAATTATAACGTACCAGAATAGCCACACAGTCATCACTGACACACAGTTCTAATACCTGAAGAGGACTAAAAGCTTTCCAGAAACAGAATTCTGCAGCAAATCTTATGGTATTCATGCATAAGGGCCTGATTATGACAAATGTTAGTGGACAGTAAAAGTGGTAAGGGATAAAATTACCTCTCCTTTCTCTTGAATCCTCTTCTGTACCTCTGAGACAGGTACATCTACATAAATGACCAAGTGAGGTGGTAGAAATTCACAAATACTGATCTCTTTGATCTCCTTGTAGTGATCAAGGCCTGGATTAAAACAAACAAACAAACACACACATTACAGACCTAAGAGCAGCACAGCTGAACACATACCCATATTCCAAATAAGGAATAAAAGTAATGATAATAGCATTAAAATTATAAACTATCAGGTAACCAATCTATAACCACTTCCTGAGTGTTCTTCCTGCATTTACTAAGCATACTTTACTCCCAGATAGATCATTTCCCCCACCAAAGTATTTTAATCTCTTCTTTGCTGATAGATCAAGTGCAGGGTAGGCTTTTCTTCAAGTCAGATTCAGCAAGTTTTCAGGTTAAACAATGTTCCAGAAATAGAAAGTAAAAACCAATATAATTAACCAATTAAATGCTATGACCACTAAAATGTAAGGATATTTAACAAACTAGTTACACCAAATGGAAATTTATTTCTGACTTAACTTTGGAGAAACATAGGTTTTCCTCATCCTGTACAGACAGCTTCTGATAAAACAGTCAGATAGCTGCAACACTTAGATTACCTGAGGTGATTAATGGCTGCTGCTGCCTTCTGTTAGGCAAAGCCTCACATTTTATATATATATACATATATATTAGTACTAGCACAGTGAAGGTCAGAGTGCGGCAAAGAGTGTGCTGGAAAAAAAATCACACGTTTCAGGAGGATTAATACAGGAATAAGATGCTTTGCAAGAAGTACTCTTTTATTTCCCACCATGGGGGGAAAATCCAAGGGTAAGGCATGCATTTGCCTTGTCCCCTGATGCAAACACAAAATCATCCTGGAGGAAAGCAAATATTATAGAACAGGTCAGCATCCCAGTATGCTGCTTCCCTCCACACATGTCTTGGAGGCACACTCTATACTACTGTTTCTCAGTAGCTTTGTGCTCTACTGCTAGAAATAGCTAGGAACAGCAGACCTTCTCTCTAAGAATACAGTAACCAGAGGACTCCACTACTGGATTCTTTTATCACATCAGTTAACTTAAAGCATCCTTTGATTAATACTTTGATAGTTTAGATCCCACCCTGACTCAGTGGAAGCATCTTTTCAACATTTATGAATAGCATGGGTTCCTTTTCACCCAGCTCAAATGCAAACATTCCTCAATAAGGCTCATTGGCTGAGCTAAAAATGTAGTGCTAGGCTTCCAAATTTAAATAGTCTGTGAAAAAGTTAAAACCTACTGAACTTGGCACCACAATAAGAAGTGTTCAGCCATCTCTTCATCAAGGTGTTTGCTGTTTTAGGATTCCAGTGCAATTGTTAAGTTGTTAACTGCATTTTATATTAAAGAATAAATGTACACAAATGATTCTCCCCACTGTAGAATCATAGGTTGCTGGGCTTTGTTTGCCTCGCCAGCACAGGTCAGTGAGACACAGCTCATTATAACTAGCTCTAAAAATAAACTCATTCAGTAAGGAAGTTGCTACTTATAGCTAGTGTTAAAAAAACAAATATAAACTGCCTAAATCTAAACCAAATCAAACGAGACACCGGAAACAGAAGTTAGTTAGAGAAACGTTCACCTCAGGAGTAGCCAAAACCCCAGATTTGCCAGGAACAGGCAGAAACAACAATTTCAGTAAGAACTTAACTTTGGGGACAGTTGAAGACTTGCTTTTACAGCTACTTCTACAGACTTTCAAACTTTTACACAGCTTGAAGTTTTTAAGGGTTGGCTGCAGCTGGTCTCCTACTTACCTCATATAATTACCCCATTTCCAGCCAAGTGACAGTGACTCAAGTGAGTCTGCCCAAGACACATCAACACAGAAACACTGCACTACTCAAGAATTTCACAGTCCACAAATCAGAATCTCAGAACTGCTAAAGCGGGAAGGAATTTCTGGAAATTGTCTAGTTCAATTGCCTTGCTCAGAGCAGGACCAATTAGAGCATATTGCTCAGGACTGCAGTGGAGTTGCTGGAGGGCTCTGTACCGTATGTAATGGTACATCATAACACTTGTTGAAGAAGGCTGGAAACTGGTCACCTCTTGAGGCAAGAGCCTCAAAGGCTCTTGCTCCTCCTCAAGATTTGCCTCTGAAGAACAAGTTTAGCACCCTCCAAGCTGAGGAGGAGCTGGGCATAGATAGCTTCAAGGGAAGCAACTGGCCTGACAGACACTGTGCCATACAGGAACACCTGGAAGAAGCAGCGAGTGATTGTTGTGGGTTGACTCCCTGCTGCAGGGGACAGAGGCACCTCTCTGC